ACAATAAATATAAAACATAAAGGAAAAGAGACACAAAAATACAATTTCTGGAAATAGCACACAAAAATTTTAAAGTAATCTGGATTAAAGGGTTGGAGTACAGCTCAATAGTAGAGTGCTTACATAGCATGTGGGACATCCTGTATACAATATCCATCATTGGGGGCTGGGGAGATGGCTCAGTAGAATAAGCACTTCCCTGGCAAGCACAAGGGCCTGAGTTCAATCCCCAGTTCCACCAAAAAAAAAAAAATCCACCATTGACAGGAAAAATTTTGTTTAATAAATTTGAAATAGTAAAGGATAAGACAGGAAAAATATTTCTATATCTATATAAAGGAATAAAACACAATTTTAAAACTGAAAAGTCATATAGCAATTTTAGTAACAACCCATGGATGAGCTTGACAGCATAATAGACATAATGTAAAAGATGATCAGTACATTGAAGGAAAATTCCAAAGAAAATATTTGAACAATCACATATCGTGATTCAAACAATCATAATCACAAAATAATGGTAGAAAAAGGCCAAACTGAGGGTGTACAATAAAATCATCTGTTAAGCACAATCAGAGATCTCAAGAAAAGGGGAAGAATGGTATACAGGAAGAGATCAGTTAAGAATTCAATGAATTTCACTTGATGAAAGACATCATTCTACAAATTCTAGAAGCTCTGAATTAAAGACAACAAAAATGAAAACAAATTACAACATAGTAGAACTGAGGGGAAAAAAAATACAGAAAACTCCCTAAAATCAGTCAAAGATTAAGAGATATAAAACCCTCAAAGCAACAAGAAGACTGCAAGATGCAATGACCATCAGGAGTCAAAAAAGTCAAAAAGTAAAACCTGCCAAAGAAAAATTGGACACCTACTTTAAATATTGTTTAATAATTATAGCAGTATATAATTTTCAGCCACAAAAAATTTTGACAACAAACTTTTGGTTAAAAAAATACAATAAACTTCATTATTTTAGAATTATAATAAATGAGTTTCTAAGGATACTACAAATTTAAAATACAAATGCTTAAAATAAAAAGTCATATACTAGACTCACATCTACAAATTTCTTTACCTAAACCAACTAGAAATGAAGAAGTAATTGCATTCAGTAATTCATGACATTTGTAAATATGGTTCTTCCTAAATGTTCCAAATCACTTTTGTGGATTAGCTCACTTGCTAACACTACTCTCTCCATCTGTTGAAAAGCAAGTCAGATATTTTCATCTTTATTTTATTTTATGTAGTTGGTACAGAGTGTCACTATACACCTCAGACTTGTAGCCCTCCTCCTGTTTTAGCCTTCCCAGTGCTGGGATTACAGGTGTGCGCCACCATGCCTGGACAGGCACATAGACCACTGAGCTATCTCCATGGCCCCATCTTTATTTTATGTAAAAAATGAAAATTATGCTCAAAGACACTCAGAGACTTATCCCTGATGAGACAACAAAATCTAAGCTAGAATGTATAATTATCTATTGTTCATCATTTGAATCCTCCAAAATTGGAAAACAATATTACTTTACAAAAGATATCAAATAAATAGCAAATGGATAATTGCAGTAGCTTCTAAAGAATTTGTCTTAGTTTTATTTGTCAAAGCTCAATTAATATTATATTTACCTTCTGAATAATGTATAACATTCCTCAACATTATTAACCACCCTATGACTATTGGCTTTCACTCTTAGTTTGCAATTCTATAAGATTCTAAGATACCAAGACCTTTCAGCTAGCTTTGACTGACCACTTGCCTTATCAAAGCCTACACAAAGTAAAACCATGTGTTGTGATCCATAAGCCTCCTATTCTTATGAAGGCTGTAAGATATCCTTACAGAAAGGCCACAAGACAAACTTCTGATTCAGCTCAAGATATAATTCTGACTCAAGGGAAGTGGGGAAATTTCATATGATGGGATTTCTCAAGTGTATGTTAAATCAACCATCTGGAACGAGGAAAGAAAGAGAACATCACATAGCGTGAACTTACTCCATATACATAATCTTTTCTTGGAAAAAATATGGTAATTAAATGATTCTCTTTTCCACAGTCCTGAAATATCACTCTCACCTGTGGCCTTGCTTCTATTTTATCATGCAACTTCCTGTTTAACTAGGACTTTTTCCTAATGAAAATTCCATGTGTAGTCATTGATAAGACATTAGAAGTGGTACATATTTAGAAGAACAAGATGAAAGGTATTCAACCATGATTTTTGTATTGCTTATTGGTGTCTTTGATGTAGTTGCTCAGATTACACATATTAGCATATAGAGTCAGTCAAAGTGAAAATTTTAAATATTCACTGCTAGATTTTAAACAAAACTGATGGAAATTGCTAGTACAATCATCTCATCTCTTTAAAATAAATTTAAAATCATAAAAGGAAAATAAAAATATGAATGTTTATTGAAAGCAAGTGTTAATGTTTAATTATTCAACCAATCTTGAATACCTATATCTGTTAATCTGAGTAAGAGATTTGATGATAAAAATAAGTAATATAACCACTGTTAATTTTCTACTCTTGTTTTGAAATTCTGTACCATATGTATTGTATCTATTTCTATCTTTGTTTTTTTCTATTTGTTTTTGTTTGTACTCTTTAAAAAAAATAAAATCAAACAAAATTTACCAAAAAAGAAGAGTCCATGTGTAACAAAAGTTACAAAGTATTTTTAAAACACTGAGAGTGATGTCTACTTCCAGAACATTATTTTACTCTGCCTTTCTTAAAAATAATATTGTGCTGTTTATCAAATATATCAAGTCATATTTATAAGATGTTTGGATCTTTTTCATTAATGTATTTGGTACAGGGTCTCACTACACAGCTCAGACTCCAGTTTTCAGCCACCCCAGCACTGGGATTACAGGCATATGCCACCACGCCTGCCTGGTCTCTGAGGCTGGTTCAGTGCACTCAGTGGCTGGAGCCAGGCCAGTGTAGCATGTGGCACTGGGAATAGATCCCTGGTCCCTGTGCTTCCCTGAGCAGGCACTTGGTCCACTGAGCTATTTTGTTGGCCTGATTCTTGCATGGTGTGGGGACTCTCACCACAGATTTTATTACATGTGTGGTAAAATACCAAAGTGCTTTTTGTGTGTGTGTGGTACCGGGATCAAACTCAGGACTTGCCCAAAGCACTTTTGACCTTCATAGTTAAAATATTTCAGAAATAAAGTTAAATATTTTAGGTAAAAATTATAAGTCTATCATACATTCTTATTTCCTATGTGAAATGGATTTTTAAAAATCTTGTTTTTAACCATAATGTCTTCTGCCATAAGCCATTCACCAAGTGCTACCACACCTCCTGCCCATCCTTGGTGACTCACTGACAAGATATATATATATATATATATATATATATATATATTATATATATATATTATATGTGTGTGTGTGTGTGTGTGTGTGTGTGTGTGTGTGTGTGTGTAGTTTCACTTTGGGTATATCCCATCACATAAGCACATCACTGGACTGATTGAAAACAAAACTTAGCTGTCACGTGATCTAAAGAAAGCAGTGGATAGAGCAACAGGTTCTCTAAGAACTTTGATGTGATGCCCTGCATGCTGTATGCCTTACCACAAAGAGGCACATACAAGAAGGGTGAAAGGAAACTTTTGAAGAAACAGATGCAGATCTTAGTGAGAAGTCATGAATTAGATAATAAAATAAACACTGTTTCTGAGTCACAGAAGAAAATGTTGCTTCTAGAGCCACAAGTCTTGGCAGGGAGGAAATTAAGGTCTCTTTGGTCATGTTATAGATCTGCCAACATCAAGTGACATAATCAAACATTTAGTTATGCACGTCCTAGTAAAGACAAACATGTAAAAGCTACAGTGAGCTCCCCTCAAATCAAAACTGATGGACCACCTCTGACGCCCTTCTTGGTTCCTCCACTCAACTTCCGACCTCCCCTGGACCTCATGCAGATCCCTCTCTACTTCTACCACATTTATCACCCCAGCAATTTTCTACTATGCCTACTCGGCAAGAACCTCAAACTTCATCAAAATAGCAATCACTGATGGAAACCGGTGCTTTGCCTCTCTTGGAAAAACTTCATTAGAATCATCAGTCTTTAAAGAAAAAGAAACACTGTAAAGAAAAAATAAGCTTTATTTTGATGAAAACCAAAATGACTTTGAATTATGATGGTCCTATTGTTGAGGTTTTCTTATTTCTGACCATGACGTTAGATGGTGGAATATCAAAATTATGTATGAGGAATCTCTTTAATGTTGGGGGATTATTTATTATAAATAAAATTCATAAATATGAAATAGCTATTAAATGTTTAAAGAGCTCAGATTGCAGTGGATAAAAGCTTTTTTAAAAAATGACAAAAAAGAAAAGTAACAACCCCAAAGTAGGCAATTTTCACTTGCTTCCATTTTTTCACAAAGTGGCTTTTCCATGTGTGGGGGGAGTGAGATTAAACACAAATGCTCCAAGAGAGATGGCCATTTCCTTGTGATAAAAAATTTAGACTCCCCTTAAACAGAAGGGATTCATCTATGAAGGGTGTATGGACCAGCAGCAAGCCAGCAGCTGTGGGTGCTGGTACGTTGATATCTACAAGCGGTACCGTTCTCAACTAAGGAGTGTAAACCGGTTCTGAAAGTCTTTAATCCCGCAAATCTGAACAGTAGAAATCATGCCTATCTCAAACATGTTTATCAAGCAAACCTCTTCTGGAACTGAGTAACAAAAGGAATTGCCAGGAAAACGTGGAGCAGCTGTTTTAACTACACACTGAAGCTGCCTCTTACTCCATCCACCTGCCACAAATAATCTCCAAGACAAACGTTTCAGAAACCCAAAAAGAAAAAATAAATTAATCTTTAAAAACCAAAGTTTGCTCTTTGCCTCGCACCACTGGGGTAGAACTTGGGTATCTCTCAACCACTTGGCTACCAGGAGCCCCAGAAGGTAGGTATAGACCTGAAAACCCGCCACCGACACTCACCCGAGAGCGCAGGACCCTTCTGGCGCCTCCAGTCCCAGCTCTCAGTCCCACCTGCCTCAGGAACACAAAGGCATCACTCCTCGAGTCAGGCGAGTGTGGAGAGCGGAGAACCGACCCAGCAGTGCCGGGGAGCGTGGCAGAGCCCCCAGCCCCTTCGCGTTAAACCCAAGACAAAGGCTGCTCCGAGTCCCGCGAGGTGTGAGCCCTCCTGGATAAACGGCGACCGCTCCCTCTGGCCCACACAGGGAGCGCCTGACCAGAGAAGTGACTGTCGTCGGTTCCGCGCGTTTGGAGGGGTGCGGCTGGGTGCCTAACGCGACGCCGGTGTAAACAGCGCCGCGCGCTCGGAATCCAGGAACGCGAGCGCAGGGCTGGCGCCCACTCCAGCAAGAACAGCTGCCCGGGGCAGCTTGCTGGAGAAGCCTCCACGAACCGAGCGCTCCCACCCGCAAGCTTGTCCCAGTACCCGCCGAGAGCCCCAGCCAGGAGCGCAAGCTCGGACGCGCTGCCCCCAGCCAAGGCACCTGCTGCCTGCGCGCCGCTGCCGGTGCCAAGTCCCAGGACTGCGAGTCCCGGAGAGCGCGCGCTCACGGCGAGGTTGACGGGCAGTCTCCGCAATCACTCACCCTCGGAGGGTGCAGCGGCTCAGACCCGCGCCAGGCTGCGCGGCGGGCTCCCCGGGGCAGCGGCCTCCTCCCATCCTTTGTCACTCGCGGCGGAGCGCGCCTCCCCAGCCAGCGGACGCGCAGCCGGGCGGCAGGCAGCGGCTCCGGCTCCGCTCCCCGGCGCTCTCCCTCCTCTGCTCCCCTCCCTGCTCCGTCCCCCTCTCCGAGCCGGCACTCACTCGGCGCCCATGATGTCATTCAGTGGAAATCTGCCATGCTCAAAAGCTGGAATAATCCAGCGATGGCGCGGGGCGCGCGGAGAGGGCGGAGGCGGCCGGAGCCTCCGGGAGTTCCCCGAACCTGACACCCCGCCAGGTTAGCCCGAGCCCGGGACTGGACGGAACAGAGAAAGGGTTTACGGAAAAGTGGTTCGGAGAGTGTGTGGGGGTCCGGGGGTGCGGAGGAGATGCAGCCAAGCTGCAAGCGCATTCGCTGATGTGAGGATCCCGAAATCCGCACTTAGACCCTTGGCAGAAGCAGGCACAAGGAGAAAGTTCTCTTGAGCTCCTCCGGAGCCACACCACGGATGAACACCTGTGCTCCACACGGGCTGACTAGAACCCTTGGAACTCCCAATCCCCAGTCGCTGAGAGAAAGTTCAGGATGTCTGGCCAGTGCCCGCGTAGGTGAAGAGTATCTTAAGTGATAGAGAAAGGTGTGTGCTGTTTATAGGCAAAGGAATCAGAGGCGAAGCTTTAGGCAGGCAGCAAGAGGGCTGCGGTGGTCGGTGGTTAGACCTGAATGCCCAAAGGATGCTTCCCAGGAACAAAAGGGCACTCCAGGAGGCCTACCTCAGGCTTTGTGTCGCTCCCCTGTCCTCCCATAAATCCTGGACGCTCTTTCGCTGCCCTCCGTTTCTCTCAAAGGTTGCAACTATGGTGAAACTATGCAAATCATGAGAGGTCTGTTGAAAAGAATGAAAGATGTGATACCAACTCTTTTTGTTTAGTGTTATTTATATTAGTAGAAGTTTCATTAAAGAATAGAAGTTAATAGCCTCAATATTTTTGAAGATTCCCTAATATCCAGTATTAATACACACACACACACACACACACACACACACACACACCTAAAATCCTGGCCTACATCAGTCCCAAGCAGCTTCGGATCAACAACACTGGCTGTTCAGAGCCTAGATCTCAACAACTGAAAGTGCTCTGATCCATCTAGGCTTGGAGGAAACTTCTGATTTCTTGGGTGTTGCCAATCTTCTATCACCCTGCGAGAAACTAGGATTGTAGAGGACAGTGCCAGTGTCAGCCCTGATTGCCCAGGCTCAGCTGAGCGTGCGCAGGTGAGAACGTGTGGATGCTGCCTCCGCGAACATCTGCAGTCCCACAGAAGTAAGCACATAGTAATAGCTTTCGTCATGGATACGAGTACTTTTACAAACGCCTCGATCTGTACATGCAAAGAGAAGTCCACATTAAAGCAAGAACAATACAGACAAGGACACTGTGAAGGCGCCTCAGTGTATTAGATTAGTCTGGTCTATGCATTATGAAATTGTGAGAGTATTGTGCATTGCCGGAGCACTCGCCTACCCGGCTCGACGCCCTGCGGTCATCCAAGCACGACAGAAAAAGAAAATATAAACTTTAGTGGATTTTCTCAAGAAAGATAACAAATGATTTTAAAAGTCAGGATTAGAAATTAATTTTGATAATAAAATATCAAAACACCTATAGTGAAATCTAGAAGCATAAACTTGCATTCAGCTGATTTAAAATTAACTTATTTTAGGTAATAGAAAATCCATATGCCATATTGTTTGTGTGATGTATTAAAAAATCTGTGTATTTAATATCTTTTGTAACTTCCTCACATTTCATTAAAGTTTTTTCTATTTTTAAAGTATAATCACTAATTGATTCCATTGACATACAAACTAACCTACCAAGATCCTTGCCTGTGCCAGTGATATTTGCTATTTCTAATGAATGCTTTTATTTTTTGTAATTTTTAAAAGCCATTCTGCTGAAATATTTTAAAATATTTTGATCCAAATGAATGTCTAACACAACCAAAATGCATAAATAATTTCTAGACACAAGTATTTTAAATATCAAAATAATTTCTTCTAATTTTAAAGATGTCTTTAATCTCAGCAAATAGGAAATAAACTACATTGAAACGTTGGGAGAAGTAAGAATTTGGGACTGTAACCCATGGCAGTGTGATGAATAAGAAAATGAACCAATTCCTTGAAAAATAAAAGAGTAATTTGAACTGCTGCCTTCTTCTGAGTGTATGAGAAGGGCAGGTGTAAACCTCACCCCTAGATTGGCTCTTTGGTGCCCCAGCTATCTTCATTGTCCCTATTTATCTTGTTCTTCATTGTTCTCAGGGGTGAAGGACAGGCTTGGAGACAAGAAGAATGTTGCGTTAGTAAGCAGATCTGAGGACATTTGGGACCATAAAGCACAGAGCATGCATCCTTCAGCCTCTTTGTTTTAAATCACTGAGCTAAAGGGTGAAAGACACACCTCCATCTTTAAGAAAAAATAAATACTTTAGTATGTGATTGCTTCATTGGTCCTTTGAAATGGTCTTCATGTTTGTGACTCTGGACCTCTTGAAGGATTAAAAATAACATGCTGTGTCCATCCCTGCGATCTTTGATCTTCACAGGGTTAACTGACTTCTTCACAAGATGGCCTATCTCCGTTTAACCTACCAAGATCCTTGCCTGCGCCAGTGATAGTTGCCATTTCTAATGCATGCTTTTGTGTTTTTGTAATTTTTAAAAGTCCTTCTGCTGAAATATTTTAAGATATTTTGATCCCAATGAATATCTAACACAACCAAAATTAAAACATCCAATTGTTACCTTGGAAAATAAAAATATCATAATTTTTAGAAAAATAATATCTAAAATCAGACTTTATTGCACTATATTACATTCTAATCTTGTTTAAATGGCAAATATAGTAAAGCTTGGAGTTGAAAAATTCAGAGCAGATGCTTGAACTCTGCCTCAGTTAGGGATGCCCCACTACCCTGTCTTCATGAGGATACCTGATTCTCTTCACAAAGGCAACCAGTGCTGCATTTTGGATGGAAAGAAATGGACATCTTTTACCTTGTGTACTCTACAAAGCTATAAACATTTTGCACTCTAGTTTAATTTAAATTAATTATAACACATCTTTTTAAAAGAAGCACTACTTTAAAATGAAATAAAAAAGAAAAAATAGTCATGAGCCATTGCTTTAAATGAAGGTTACTAATAAGTAATTTAAGTGACTAATTTCAGTGTTCTCTTAACCCATTGGTGGAACTGTGAAAGCCAGCTCCATCTGAATGAGGCTGTCTTCTTTCCTGTGTATATTAACAAAGAAAATTGGTCATATTTCCTCCTCTTATCTCAATGGATATATAACTATACCACAGAAAGTAATATTCTCTGGGTACAGATATACAGCCAAGTTTCCTGAAAAAGAAAGTTTTGATATATATTTTTCAGAAAGATTTCATTGTCCTTTTTGGTAATTGGCTAATATTCACCAACTTTGTTAACAAGGGTTATTTGCAGCAATTTGTGAAAAAGTTAAGAAGCGCATATCAGACAGTCACTTTTCAAGGTATCTTCTTAATTTAGCTTTTTAAAGTTAATTTCTCATTTATAAAATAAGCAGTTCAAACAGTGAGAATCTTTATGCTTGTAAGATATTAGCACATATAAATTTATTTATTACATTTATATGACTTAAATATTAACGTGATTTTGACTTTGGCTCCAGACAGTCTTCTGTCATAAAGTATCCTTATTAAAGAGGACGTCCTGTCCCATGGCTATAGTTCATTTTTCTACTTCTCTATCGATCATTCTGATCATGGACACTAACCTGATATAGACTAGTGATCATTTATTCACTGCCTTTAAGGTCAGAAGACAGGATGAGAAATGCTTACTATTAGAAAAAAATTATAGGTGTGTTAACTCAGTAAAATATTCTAAAAGAGTCCAGTAGCCCATAATAGTATTGGGTCTTCTGCTTCACTGGCAATGTCAGAAATTATTGACCTGAGTCCCCTACAGCTCAACGTAACAACATGGCTTTACTTCTTATATTTCGTTTTTATACTTTTCAGCTGGATGGTTAAGACCAAGGTAAAGCTGGACCTAGACAACAAGAGTTGTAGCTTTTGGGTCTGAGAAGGTCAGTCAAATCCCCTCAGGATTTATCCTGGGATCCTGTACCTCAGATTGTAGAACCTTTGTCAGTGTCAGCCATGTGGATGAGTCACAACCATTGCTTGGCCAATGTGCTTTCTGTGAATGCCTGAGAGAGTGTTTTCTCTCCATGTGACTCTCCTTAGGCATACTCTAGATCATTGGTCATTTTCCTCTTTGGCCCCATAATCTCCTTGATCAGAAAATTTGGAACACTACCAAGTTACATGATGTTACAGTACAAGTTCTCATATGTCCTGAGTCTTAATTAACCTTGGAAGGCTAGTGCCAAAATGTTGACTTTCCTTGTATCCCTCCTTTTTCTCTAATTTTTGTCTGCAAACTTAGGTTGTTAAACATCCAGAGGACAAGCTTATTGTTATTACCATACAAGTTATGCAATGTGTTAATTATTGAAGCTGTCCTACCAATTTGATTTGAAACTGTCTCATTGCTATTTGTATCTCAATAAAATTATGGAAAAAATATTGCAAAGTCAAAAAAAAAGAAAAAATTCACATTTCAAAATCAACATATTGCTTGTGG